TTTGGAAAAAATCGATAAGATTTCATGCTCACTGGTATCATTCATTATCAGTTTAAATTGAACTACGATGGAGAGTCACCTAGCTTGATAATGACACTACCAAACTGACTGATAGGATCCAGTCGAAACCAACGCCAACGGCTATAGACATGAAGTTGAATACATCCTAGTGACTAGTTTATGTAGCTATCACAGTTCTACAGGATGTTGGTTGCACACGCTGTGGCCATAGCACTGGATGAATTAGGCCCAAATGTCCCAAGAAATGTCCTTCTCTGTGAAGTTGCAGATACGGGTTACTGATAGGCATCAATAAACAGGAAATCTGAGATCAGGGTTCCGGTTGATTGCCACCAGTCATTCGGCAGAACAGAGTCTCTTAGTGAGCAGGAGTTCTGTATTGATGCACTTAAAAAAACAACTGGTACAAAAACTAAGGTAATCAGATCATTCTACCAAAATATTCGGTAACCTTTAATATCAGTTGTATTTGGATAAGTGTCTTTTATGATTACTATTAAGCTATGGTCCGGGGTTCGATCCCTAGCCGACGCACTCTTTTACCTCGCTAAGCCAGAGGGAATGCTGGTAAAGAGGAAGGGTTGGGCATTAGGCTAGCAATCCCTTCCTGTAAAAATTAAACACTGCTACAGGAACTTCAAGCTGCAAGCTTGAGGCCCTATGTTCCACTGGGGAACGTGAAAGAAAAAACAACTAAGCTTTATGTTTAAATAAGACGCAAGTGTTGAAACTAAAGTCCAGTACTCCTAATATTTCGTGAGAAGTTTGTAAGATATTAGTGTTATCGAGTATTCATATTTTCTTATTGGATTTTTTCACGATGTCTAGCTGTAGGTCTCACAGAGTCTTGAACTCAGGATGCTGAATGTAGAGTTCACTGTACTAACAACCACTGTACCATCAGTTCAAAGGATGGTTTGTCTTTTTTAATCTGTGAATGTAACCTAGATAGATATGACCCATTGCACAAGAATGAGGTGGCTCTCGTGGCCCAAGTGGTCTAGTGGATAGCCCTTTGACGTTTGAAACTATGGGCACTGGGTTTGAGCCTCGATGGTGGGAACACCATCACTAACTTACTGGGGAATGCAGGTACATCCAGCCGGCGGACGAGTCCCAAATAGGAAGAAATGCGCGTTGTCCTGGATTCCACTGCTAGTCACCATCCACCAATTAACTTCTAAATACTAATAATCTTTTGATAATAAATATACTCTTCAATACAAAATATAAAATTGTACAATTAATTCACAACTGTGTTATAACTATCATTCTCATCCAACAGATTAATTGATTTTTAAATTTTAGTCGGCGATAATTTTGTTATTCTTCAGCAGTGTGAACCCATGAGTCAATCGGGAATCAAAATCCAGACCTTCACACTGGAAGTTGAATACTCTTGTTCTCATACCATCAATCCACGACTAAATAGCCCACAAATTGTTGGAATTCATCTGTCACGTCTTTTCCTTATACACTCTCAAGAAATATATCACTAAAACAAACAGTTTCTGAACTGAATTGTTATTATCTTTTTTGTAGAAACAACTTTAGTATGCTATCTAATCTAATCAATTTAGAAACAGTTCACGTTAACATTGTCTGCGACAACAATTGTGATTATTTGATTGTTTGAAAATAATTGGAGAGTATTTGTAGCTCAGGCGGATCATTTTGATGGTGTTGTGTCCTCTGAAAAGCATCTTCAGTGCTTCAATGAGAAGTTTTTACGCTGAATACGTTGTCTAGGAAGATAGTAAAAGCTTTTTAAATGAAATTATACCCAGCCTAGAGGACACAACCACATTAAAAGATAGTCATTTCATCATCAGTATCAGTTGATTCTATAATTTTCACCTACGCAAGTGACTGGTTTTGAACAAAAGCGAATAGATGCATGACGAAGTTACCTGGGGTTCTAGTGAGAATTGGGAGTACAAACAAACACCGATGACACTAAATGGTGTTCGCGCCAAAATCATAAATTGGTACAAGTTAGATATCATAGGCCGTTATAACGGATCCCATTGGCTGAATAATAATAATGATTTACTTTATTCCAAAAACAGTACTTGTGACATAGAATGGAATTTTCAGCATTAATCACAATATTATTGCATCAAATTTCCGCAAATTATAAATAAAAAATTAATCACACAGAAAATTTTCCACATTTACAATAGAGGTAATGTCAAAAACATGCAGCATATAAAATGTAAATAATAATAATGATAACAGCTAAGGTAATAATAATACAAGCGAAAATTGCCGTGGGCTTGTTTCACACAGTATTGTGAATGCTGTTTAGAAATCCTAACATGTTTAAAAATATTAAACACAGCGTTCTCTTTACATGACATGGTGAAGGGAAAAGCAAAGATTATAGAAGTCATAGAGATAAGTTGATGTTTGCAATTATGAGAGTAAAAGAAAGAAGCAACAGGACCATAAATATAATAGAAATAATAAAAGTAAAACCCGAAAGTATATAAGGATGAATGGTGGAAATTGTTTGTTTTAATAGATGAAAAAAGGTTAGTTAATTTTCATCACATAAAATACGTGCCAAGTATGGTATCATAGAATTTTTATACTTAGATTTGCGAGCATACAGTTTTCTAAAGTTACTTCTTATCCTACCTGAGGAGATGCAAGGTGAAAGCTGAGGGTAAAGCGGATGCTCCAAAGTCAGACAAAATCCCTTTAGCAAATTTATTTCACGAGGTCAAGTGCCTATCGACAATGACGTTAACTATGTGGTCCACTGGGATACCACTCACCCAAATGACGGTCTTCAGCATTCTACGAATTGTGACATATTCCTTTTAAAGCAGACCAGGAAAGAATAAGGGTGAACAATAAAGAAGAATAGGTAGGATGCAAGAGTTTATGAACTATAAGAGGGAGGGGTTGAGTTATACCCGAGTGTCTTAACTTCTTAATGTAAAATGTCAGGGGAATATTTTACTACAGATCACTAAGACATGGAAAGACCAGGAGAGATCAGAAGAGAGAATAAGTCCAAGATGCTTAATTTCTACTTTAATTCCTATATCATTGTCGTCTATCTTACAACTGTCATGGGAATCGATGACTTCTTCTAACTGTCTTTGACATCGTAAGCTGAAATTAACAGTTTGACATTTCGAAAGATTCAGTTTAAGACCGTTAGACTCAGACCGTTTACGTTTATAAGCTTGCTTTCTAAGGAGAACATCGTGTGTTTGAACACTGAACATTGGATGCCAGCTGCTAAACAGTCCTGAAGTAGGACTGAAGAGCTGTTCAATACCTTTTGGTTTTTTCAACGATTTTTTAACTGATTTTATTCATGAATAATTCCCATTCGAACATTAGTAGACAGAAGACAAGTAGTTCAGCGAAGAGTCCCTTTTCGGCGAATTCATTTTCATAGCTGTACAATCGCAAATATATATGGTTATTTTGTGTGTGTGTGTGTGTGTATACATTAAATTTGTCAAACGAAAATACAATTAGTAAGTTCAGATGAATTGGATGTTGACAAGAGGATAGCAACAAAAGTGATGAGTTGTCATAAATGATTGTTAAATAAGAGTTACGTAATGGCATGAATAGTTTGATGAATGAGTTGTGCTCAAAGGGTGTACATGGAAACAAAATAATATACAGAATTACACAAGGGTTTTAAGTTAGAAAAATAAGCATACAAACAGAAGTAAGGTCAAATCAAACAAACAAAGAAAAGTTAGGTCAAATCAACGGAGTTGTTACCATGCGAGTAGAAATGGTTGGATAATTTTCTTTTGTATGCATAGTTCTGGTTCCGCCAACTGGATGGCTAGGGCTTCTGCAATGCAAAGAAGACGAAATCGTACTGTCTTTGGAAGGTTGTTCTTCACTTTGTAGATTACTTTGAAGGAGGCGTTCGTTGAGATGGAATGACCAGTGTTGACAAGATGTTCGATTATTGCACTCCTTATATGGCTATTATTTTCTTTCTGTAGCCACGCTGGATAGTGTTCTTTGACCCTTTTTGACAGGATGCTCGTTGAACGACCGATGTACCTGGCTCCACAGCAACAGGTGAACTGATATGTACACATAGAAGTGGTCATGTGCGGAATCTTGTCCTTTGGGTTTCTGCAGATCAGCGGGCGACTGGAGAACACTATTCTTAGTATTGCTGCAGGGAAAGTTCTTCCTAAAGAGGTGGAAATTCTCCTTCTGAGGACGTCACTAAGTAGGTATCCTTTGAAGTCTAGGTTCATATAAAGTATATAAAGTATAGAGTAAACTTCATATGAGTGCAATAATCGAACATCTTGTCAACACTGGTCATTCCATCTCAACGAACGCCTCCTTCAAAGTAATCTACAAAGTGAAGAACAACCTTCCAAAGACAGTACGATTTCGTCTTCTTTGCATTGCAGAAGCCCTAGCCATCCAGTTGGCGGAACCAGAACTATGCATACAAAAGAAAATTATCCAACCATTTCTACTCGCATGGTAACAACTCCGTTGATTTGACCTAACTTTTCTTTGTTTGTTTGATTTGACCTTACTTCTGTTTGTATGCTTATTTTTCTAACTTAAAACCCTTGTGTAATTCTGTATATTATTTTGTTTCCATGTACACCCTTTGAGCACAACTCATTCATCAAACTATTCATGCCATTACGTAACTCTTATTTAACAATCATTTATGACAACTCATCACTTTTGTTGCTATCCTCTTGTCAACATCCAATTCATCTGAACTTACTAATTGTATTTTCGTTTGACAAATTTAATGTATACACACACACACACACACAAAATAACCATATATATTTGCGATTGTACAGCTATGAAAATGAATTCGCCGAAAAGGGACTCTTCGCTGAACTACTTGTCTTCTGTCTACATATGTATATAAAGAGTACTAGTTTATAAGTGTTCGAGAAGTTGTCAAACGAGCTGCTGGGACCTAGTGGCGGGGGGGGGGTTGTCTGTTCTTCCCTAATTTCGTGTGTATGTGTGCACAGATCGGAGTGTTGCACACCTGAATTAGTTCAATTTTTTTTTGAAGTTTCATCATTGTCATTTCTCCTATTATATATTTCGCTTGTTTCTATTATGAAAAAAAAAGACAAATTACCCGTTGTTTCACCTTATTCATTCAAACTATGTCTTTCTTTCTCCTTCCACCCTTCTCTCTATGCATGTGAATTTATCTGTCCTCTATGGCTAATGGTGATGACGATGATAATGTCGTCTTTGCACATACGCACAATGGTCTCCATCATCCGTATATGTATTTATATTCAATGTTTATGCACTTCCCAATTGGATTACAATTATACTCACTCATTCTAATTATTTGGTATTGAAACGCTGTTATTATTGGCATGCATAATAATAAAAATCGAATGACGGAATTTCTATTCACAATTCAACTGATACAATGTTCGGTGTTCTACACGGTGTTGCACAAATTCTATCCATATATGTCCAATCTTCGGTGTGTAAAAACTTTGTCTGTCAATTTGGTGTATGTATGCAATATGTGTGTATCGGTGTATATATATATATATATGTGCATTTTGTGTGAACAATCCTCTTCACTGTTGTTATGCTCCATATTTTATGGCATATCTATCTATCCATCCATGTGTTTATCCAGTTCGTCAGTACACTCAATTATGCTTGCATAATAATAATCGTTATAGTTGTGTTGTCGATGAATTGGAAACTGAGTAAGTATATAATTCAAGAATGTATATCTAAGTATTTGTGTGTATACCAAAGTCAGGTAATTTCTTTTGGTTTTTTCTGAGTTTTGTTTATATATATATACATAGATGATATATATTCTTGGTTTTTTCACAAAAAGCATTGACCTATAGTGAAATTTAGGCTTTATAGTATTAAAGTATATTTGTGCTTTGGTGGCACAGTGGTAGAATGCTCGCCGTCCACGCCTCATGTGGTCCAGGGTTGAGTCTCCGGCCAAAGATGCACTCCTCCTTCATCTTGCCAAGCCAGAAATAGTAAGACTGGTGAAGAGGGAAGGTTTGAGAGGGGGGCATGACACTAGCAACTCCATCCTGTAAAAAAAATAATCACCACTGCTACAGAAATTTCAAGCCTGTACCTCTAGCTTGAGGCCTTCACCATGTTCCGCTGGGAAGTAAAGAAATAAAAGAAAAAATGTATATTTACACTGCATAAGCTTATTCATGTGCCCTTACATCAAATGACGTTTAACTACAGAATTGAAGGTAGGAGTGATGAGAAATTGAAATTTCACTCGATGCGATGTTTTAATTTTTTATAATATAGTAAACTTCGTTGTCGAAGAAGCAGCAAAGACAGGACTCCAGGCGAACATAGACAAGATGGAGGTTATGAAAATAACCAACCAACCAACAACAACAACAACAGCAACATCCAGTGCCAATCACCATCATTCACTTATCTAGGGAGCATTGTCTCAACTACAGGAAGTCGGAACAGACGAGGATGTCAAATCGAGCGAGAATCGGGAAGGCGAGGGAGAAACACATTCATCAACCTTAAATCAATCTGGAAATCTCCGTCACTTAGCATCAACAACAAAATTCAGTCGGATTTTCAATACAGACGTAAAGTCACTTATTCTATACGGATCAGAAACTTGGCGGGTCGGTCACAAAGAATATTTCCAACAGCCTGTTGCAGACCTTTATCAACAACAACTATCTTCGCTGGATCTATACTGAAGATCAGATGGCCGGGCCGGAAAGAATCACCAACAAGAGAAACTATGGGAACAAACAAACGAAACAAGAACCAATTGCCAACCAAAAAATATGCAGGAGAAAGTGGAGATGGATCGGACACTCGCTGAGGAGACCGCTGGGTGAAATTGCGCGCGCATCAGGCCATTGCTCGATGAGAACATGAAAGTGAAGCGGTGAGTGGGTCGTCGGTGCAAGGGTGACATGGGGGAGATCGTGTGAAGAGGAGTTGAAATAGTATGAGCTAACATGGATGCAGGTTAAAAGTATAGCAGAAGACAGAAGCAAGTGGAGACGTATAGTTGAGGCCCTATGTTCCAGTAGGAACCCAAGGAAGTAATAATAATAATAATAATAATAAAACTTCGATGTCTGCTCGTCTGACACATTCGTTCATCAAGACTTTTATTTGGAGATTTCAATAAATGAACTTTTTGTTCATGCATATATATATATATATATATATATATATATATATTTATTTGTTTATTGCGTAATATGACACACTATAGTATTATAGTCTTATAACTGTTAACTTTAGGTTACGAGTGGAACATTGGGCTTTAACAGCATGTTGTCATATCATTCTGTTATATGCATATAATTTTAGCTAGCTCAACTGACATAAGCTCCTTCATGTTAGCGTCTGACGTTCAACTCACAAACAGTCACACAGCATTATTGCTTGGTGGATAACGTCTCATCATTGAAAGTCGATTATTATACTTCCCCTTCTTCTTGCTCTTTCCAGCTATTGTAATACACCGTGGTAGAATATTCCAGATGTCTCCAATAAGTATTGAATAATTCCTCTTGCGTATATTATTAGTTCACTTGATAAACAAAGCCGCAGTTATAAGATTTGTCCCTTCATCGTACTAATACTACGACTGTTACTTTGTCCAGTTCTGTTGTATAGTTGTATGTTACTGCATTAAGTTTAATGGTTGAGCTCTCCTTGCTGGATTTATTTATCTCGGTAGAATTCCTTTATTTTCCACATTTCGTTATGTTCTCAGTTGTGGTTTATTGGTAGTCTCAGAGAACAAAAAGGGGCAGAAAAGTACAGTAATGTAGGTTCCCATACTACATAAGCGCACACATATGTTGAGCAGGAAAACAAAGATACATAAGGGACTACAAGAGATGGAGGGTAATGGGAATCTACGAGGTTTAAGTGGTCATAGATAGTTGATGAATCTTCTCCTCTGAGAACTATTTTGAAATATGTCACCTGCTGTCTCTAGCTATTAAGTTTTGGAATCGCGAGGATCTCAGGTAGGCAATCTACAGCAACTCCATACGTGACTTACTCAAGCCATCAGTCAATGACTTCATAGATTGATTTCATATTCACCTTGCTCGTCAGTACTTCAATGGAAGGATGGTTGTCAACTGTACACGTTAGACTCCCGGCCGACGCATTCCTTAACCTTGTCTAGTCTACTAGCCGATAAGAGGTGGGGTTGAGCATGAGATTCGCAATACCATCCCGTATAAACAACATCAATGCTAGCAAAACTTCAGAGTTCCTCATCTGAAACCCTATTTTGCAATCAGAACGTCAAAACTGAAAAAAAACTTCACTATATGCTTACTGATATTGATTTTGTGATGTTTAGCTTACCTGTTTTTATTTCTTTGTCAACGATTACAATCTTTCCAAGGTACCACTTAATTTTGACTTCATGTTTATGTGATTCATTTGTTTGGCTTTTGATCATGCCTTTAGCCTACACAAACATTAGACTAGGGATTTCATTCAAGGTAATACAGATACGCCTTGATGACGAATGCCTGCCAGTCGGCATAAAATCTAGGTCAACTGCTTCTTTTAGATCACCTTCAACCACTTAAAAACAATTCGAAGTGCACAGCCCTAACGAATCACAATTCCAGGTGACCACATTACGACCTTGGTTGATAGAATTTAATTAGCACTAACACCTTAGACTAAGAACACTTTAGTTAATAACCAATGAAACCATTACAGTCCTACAGGAAGTGAATCGTGATGTCTCTTATTATAAAACTGGTTGGTGCAGGTTCGACCCACACAGTGGATATCATTTCCCAATTCATAAATAATCCCCGTCCAGACATTTATGAAAACAAAACACATAGTTTAGAAAAGAGACTGTTCTCAGCAAATTCATTTTTATTACCTGTACAATTGCATTTATATGCAAATTTTCTTTCATGAAAGAGGGTGGCTACAAAAGTGATCAGTTGTCACATATTCATATTTATTAATATCGACCAATGCATAGATAAATCAAGTTAAGTGTATCTGAGTCATCTAGTAAGGTGAGTAATTTTTAATGAATGAGTTGTAATCACGATGAACATGGAAACCAACGGAAATATGGAACTGCTTAAACGTTCTAAAAAAAACGCTGGAGTTATAAGGAGTCGGAGAAGCAAACATACAAAGATCAATATATGTGTGTTCACAGGAAACCCAAACATGCAGAGAGATATTTGGACTTCTTATCATCCCCTTCTTAGTCAGTGAAAATAGGATTGGTGGAATGTTTACATAATAGAGTACAAAAAAATTAAGTAATACCAAGGGAAATCTAAGACAGGAAGTGAAGCATATAAGAGAAGCTTTGAAACTTAATAATTACCCTGATAAATTAGTCGGGAAATATGTAGAGAAATGTAAAAGTGAAATAAATAATGATAGTAGCGGTAGTGATAATAATAATAATCATAATAATAGTGACAATAATAATAATATCAATGACGACACCAACAATAAGGAATCTAAATCATCAGTAGTAATTCCATATAAGGAAGGAACCTCGGAAGCTTTACGAAGAATTCTGGACAAGGCAGGAATAAAGTTGGCCGGTATTCAGACCCACAAACTCAATTAGAAACACGCTTTGTCGATTAAAGGATCAATCCTGTGAAGCCTTTAAAACAAAACAATTTAGTTCATCGAGTACCCTGCCTGCAATGATTGTCAGGTCAAATACATAGGTCAAAAGTAGTAGGTCAGACTAGCCGAGCAAAGAAACCTAGCAAAACCTTGATTGGTTGACCCGAATAAGATAAGAAATCTAAAGAATAGTTCAGCTATAGCACCACACGCAGTTACACACAACCATACAATAGGATGGGATAAGATGACAGTTTTAAAATCTAATGTCACAGGGTAGAGAGAGAAACTGATAACAGAAGCTTTGTTTATCGAATCAAGTGCAAACTAACACGTGTAACAGGAATGATTCAACACCTGTCCACCCAGATATCTGGAAAATTCTACTATCACGCCTACGACGACAAATAGGAAAGAAAAAGGAAAACTACGGAACTGAAGTTTCGAAGTCGTGTTATTATAATTGATGAAATGATTATGAACGATAATAAATTGTGTTCGAAACTTTTTAATCCAGTAAATAATACTGTTTCATTGTGTGATACACCTAATAAACAAATCAATACAATGACGAAGTCAATGGAATTCAGCGCGTTTGTGTTCATAGCTCTAGTATCTTTATCTGAATGGCTAAAAGCTTCAGTAATGAAAAGTACGCGAAAGTGTATTGTCAGTAGTCTGCTTTGAAGAAGGTATTTGTTGAGATGAAATGATTTGTGTTCGACTATCCTACTCCTCATGCAGCCGCTACTAATACCTGTCTGCAACCATCCGAGATACTGTTCTTTAGCCCGCTTAGATAGGATACGAGTTGAACGACCAATAAACTTGACTCCACAGGAACAGATAAAGTGATGCATGCACATAGAGGTGGTGAGATTCGAAATCTTGTCCTTAAGGCTACTGCAGACCAATAAGCAACTGAAGAATACTATTCTCAGGTTGCTGTGGAGAATGTTCTTCTCAACGATAGGGAAATTTTCCTCATAAGGAGATCACAGATTAGAGTTTTGCTTGAAATTCAGGTTTTTGTAAAGCTTTTGTTTTAGTCATGACGCCTTACACACAGAACCAGATATTCTGAAGGGAACCTTCAACCAAAAGTGGTTAGCCACTAAGAATCACTGACAAGAATATCAAACCAATGAATGGTTCAGGAGAATGAAAGATTACCTGTTCTAAAAATTAGAAAATTCTCGTAATCGAAGGGAAAACCTTATTATTATCATTTAATCATTGAAATTAAGAAGTAGCATTATTTGTTGTCACCTTGGTAAAATAAGACGACAGCATGGAGAAACATCTACCCTTTTTCCTTCCTAGTTATTTTATGTTTAACAGTTATGCTGATGTTTTCGTCGAGTCAATACAACAGCTGAGAGTGTTTCTTCTTCCGTCCTTATTTTTGTTTTAGTGAATCCTTTCCAATTCTACCAAGTCAGACTGGTTGGTGTAAAGTGTATAAACTACGTCCATTATTAGCTAATAATCGGCATAAACGTGGTTTAGCTCTGGATGGTAAATTAAAACATGAAGATACTAATTTAGCTTCATCAACAATGTAAGTATTTGCCTATTCTGTGTTATACTGTCATGCATGCATGTAGTCTTTTTTGTTTGTTTGTTGTCAATTGAATACTATGAGTCACGTATGCAATATATGTGCGTCGGTGGCACAATGGTAGAATGCTCACCACACCACACCTCATGTGATCCGGGGTTTAATCCCCGGCCGATGCACTGGTTAAGAGGGGAAGCTGGACTGAGCATGAGGCTAGCAACCCCGTCCTGTAAAAAGAAACACCACTAATACTGAAACTTCAAGCCTCAAACTCTCGCTTTAATACTTCGCTATGTTCCAATGGCAACGTAAAGGAGTAATAATGATAATAATACGTCTGCAATATGACCACTATGCTAGGTGGTTTGCTACTACGATCCACTAAGAATTTCTGTTATTAGATGGTTGGAAGCATTTAGCAGGAAGCCATTCATTAATTTGCCTGGTGTTATCTACAACCTTGAAGGAACTCATGAATCCCCCATCCTCCCTTGAGATTTACGCTCGTCTCACTTCGATTGAACACTAGTTGAGTAAGGTTCTACAGAAGGTTAATTACAAGCCTCAATGACTCAATGGTAACCTTTCTAACTCCAGCAGTGAGTGACACGAATTCGACTGGTAGAAGCGATGTGAGTTCCTTCAATACTGCAAATACTTCTTGTTGACTGGTGAGTGTCATCGAAGGCTTACTGTCGATTGTCACCAACCATCAAATAATAACAATTTTGTAATGTTTTCATTCGCGTTACTTTTGTGTGTGGTTGTATTTATTATGCTTGTCAGTTTCTCCTTTATTGTACTTATTTTTTTCCGCTGTTATATCATCCGGTTCCGATATTTTAATTATCAATCATACCTACAACAGGGAATTCTATCAGTGGAGTGAATAGTTTTTTTTATGACTACAATTTTCCATATATTTAAAATCATTCTTTTAAAACTACTTGAAAAAGAACATGACAATAAATGACTGATCATCTATAGAACAGATACATAGAAAAATATAAAGGAGTAATGAATACGGGAAACTAGAATGACTGAATGCATCTACATCAATGACAATGATTTTAAAACGTATCACCAATTGAGAGAAAATATTAAATCAGATATCTATAAAACACAAAATAATTCAGCAAAGAATATCCCCTTTCGATAATTTCTCTCCTCTTGCTCTACAATCATATAGACATATGTTTATATACAGAGAATATTCTAGAATAGTAGTCAATAACAAACAATATTAGTGTTATTTAAAATAATATCGATTCGTAAAGTAAGATTAACGAAATTACCACAGTTGTCGAAAGACGCATAAATTATATAATAAGCACAAAAATGTAATTGCAAATGGAATATCTACTAAAATTAAGGAAATTTCTACAAACGTTTGAGGATCATTCGAACTTTGATGGCCTAGGTAAGGACAATGTCTGAGCTAACTTCTTTCGGACACATAAATTAGTCTTCCTAATGTGGATCCCAACGGCCTCAACAAAATATTTCGTAAACGAACTTTGTGATAACTTAATGAGATACTAACAAAACGTTCAATGAATGCGGTTAAAATAGAACTCACTGCTGTTCAGTTGGGCTGTGTCTTCGAAACCACTCACCCCTATTTCGCGTTCGAGAGTAAAATATAAACTGCTAAATTTCACCTCTTCCATTCACATCCACACATTTAACTACTTCTGTGGAGCGATCCAGTTACATGGGCCACACAATTATGCATGTTTCTCCTCGGATTTCCGAACATCACTTCGCATGGTGGTTAAGTAAGGGACAAACAAAATCTATTCTTAGCGACATTATATCGCATCTTGTGGATACAAAACACAGGATTTATATCAACGAGGCAGCTTTTTAAGTCATCTACCACATACCAACTAATCTTCGCCTTAAAAGTTCGTTTACTAAATATTACTGAATCTGACTAATGGGATCCACATTAAGAAGACTAATTTATGTGTCCGAAAGAAGTTAGCTCAGACATTGTCCTACCTAGGCCATCAAAGTTCGAATGATCCTCAAACTTTTGTAGAAATTTCCTTAATTTTAGTAGATATTCCATTTGCAATTACATTTTTGTGCTTATTATATATAATTTATGCGTCTTTCGACAACTGTGGTAATTTCATTAATCTTACTTTACGAATCGATATTATTTTAAATAACACTAATATTGTTTGTTATTGACTACTATTCTAGAATATTCTCTGTATATAAACATATGTCTATATGATTGTAGAGCAAGAAGAGGAAATTATCGAAAGGGGGATATTCTTTGCTGAATTATTTTGTGTTTTGTAGATATCATCGGTTATCTCCAGATTTGGTCACTATCATTCAAGTTTTCAACCAGGCAGTTTTTACCATCTAACATAGCTGATATCAACAGTCAGTGGTTTATATGGGTTGATACTAATCCAGTGTAATCCCATGACAATTAACACTGTTCATCGTGGAACACGATAGCTGGGCCTGAAATTAGCCTGAGACCATGAATTAACATATTTGTTTATTTTCAAGTATTAGTTTTGTAGGGATTTTTGTTTGATTGTATGGAGGATTTCATCATGAGCTGATATCAGTTAGAGAACCACTAGAAAACCTGTGAGTACTGGATAGCTTTTACACCCTAATTTAGGACTATTCAGCAGTACGCACGCAGCCACTCCGCGTGGTCTGAACTCAGGACCTTCTGGTTACAAGGCAAGCTCATAGGCTATTGAGCCACTGGGACTCGTTCCAATGGTCCTTGAATTTTAACTTCTGCCAATTCACGACATGTCTTCTTTGATGAGTTACTGCCTCGTCTTCAACCTGCTGTACCCCACTGGTCACGGCTTCCCACTAGAACTCCAGGTTAACTGCCTGAATAGGGCCAGTCGCTAGTGAGAGTCAGATTGATTTTCAGGTATTGCAGTTATGATGTGCTCATAGACCTTTTTTATTCCTACTCCCTGTGAAAGAATCACTGTTGTTTGTTAATACTTCCTTAGAATAATCAATGAATTAGGCATTTGATGATATTCGGTTTTTGGAGGCAATTGGCCACATGAAGCCTTAGACCTGGGTTTCGTGCTAGTTGGCACTCACCAGTCAGCAAGGCGTATCTACAACCTCGAAGGAACTCATGTCCCTCCTTCTGAGATTTGAACCCGCGTCACCCAGTGCTGCAGTCGGAGACGTTACTGAGCTGTTCGGGTGGCGCGGGTTCGGATCTCAGAAGGGACATCAGTTCTTCCCTTCAAAGTTGCAGATACACCTTGATGACGAGTTCCAACTAGCCTGAAACCTAGGTCGAAGGCTTCCTGCCGATTGCCTCCAACTATTTAATACCAACATCTCACAGTGCACCTTAATGGCGAGCCACCTAGCATGGTGGCCACATTGAAAGCTTGACTGATAGAATTTATTGTGCACCAAAGAAAGTACTAGACAAATCACACCAGTTACTAGTGTTCACTTAGAATTAGGCATTTATCAAAGTGATTAACGATTGTATATTACTGTATCACTGTCAAGTGTTTCAACTATTGTTGGAAACATTTAAATCTCTTTTGTCATCGATCATCTTTTTCCGTTTTTTATTGTGTGTGCGTGTGTGTTTGTGTGTGTTATTGGTACTGTTGTTGTCATGGCAATTGTTGAAGCTGTGAGATCAGCCAGCAGTCAGAGTAGTTTTCGGAAGTGTATTCGTTTCATTCTTGCTAGGTCGTATTTCGTGTGTTGCATATACTGCATATTTTTCATGATATCATTCCACATCATTACATTATACCATATATAATTTTTCTCAATTTATTTATAATAGTGATAATATAGTTAACAGTTTCATCGGCTTAATTTGTCTTTCTACTGCTGTTAATTATCACTTCAGTTTCAACAGGCTCCTGGTAGTGATTTGGAAAAGGTCATATTATTTTCTACCCCCACCCTCTATTAAATCTCTACGCTCATGACGACTGTTGCTAACTCGATTTTCGTTTATTTTTTAAGTGAATTCTACTCAGCTTATTAACTTAACTCTCATTCATTTTCAAGTGAATTCTACTCAGATTATTAACTTGACCCTCATTCATTTTTTTTCATTGAACCCTGTCAATTAGAATACGTCAGCCAACCTACTTTTGTAACTTTATTTTAGTTTCTAACCAATTAACGCCTTCAAAATTACGTAATTTGTTTGTCAAAAATTAACAATTGCATTAACACATCTTCGGAAATATTCCTTTTGTTGCCAAGACAAATTACCATAAATTTGCGATTTGTACAGCTTGAGAATAATATCGCCGAAAAGAGTAACTCTTTGCTGAACACCTTTTCTTCTCTATGACTGAATGGGAATTTTCAAGTTAAAGGTCATATTGTTAAGAAACGTATCACCATTAGAAAATAAAGTAGTTTAGACTGAACAAAGAAATATATTCAGTTTTCAGTTAATTTCTCATCAATGCTTCCATATAGCCTTTTTTACAATAATTTGTTGATTTATTATTTCTTTTGAGTTCTGAGTGGAACATAGGGCTTCGAAAATACACCTCTACTTTCTTCTATTTTCTGCCATCCTCAACAGGTGGGTCCACAACTACCCAACCCCCCCGTCTCTTCCTTACCACATGATCTCCTCCATGTCACCCTCACGATGATGACCCACTCGTCGCTTCACAACGAGATTCCACTCAACGGCCTAGCGTGCAATGCCATTCAGCGGCCTCCTCAATGTATACCCGACCCACCTCCATTTTCCCCTACATCTTTGTTCAGCGATCGGCTCTTGTCTGTTGTTCTTTTGGAAGCCAGAGTTTCTTGTTATGTATTTTTTCTGGCTGGAAATTTGATCTTCAGAGTGCAGTTAGCGAAGGCAGCTGTTGATAAAAGTCTGCAACAATGTTAGAAATCCTTTTCGTGACACACAGTGCAAGTTTATGACCCGCAAAGAAAAACTGACTGACTTCACATTTGTGTTGAAAATGCGAATCTTGTTCCTTATG